TATTTACTCCGGTTACACTGACCCTCCCTGAGAATTCCTGCCACGCGTGAAATAGCAAGAAACCACTGTTCCTCAAGATTCTTAAATGCTTTTGTCTCTGTTAAGATGTTCCCATTCTCTGTACTCACACAGCACTGATCACTTAGGGGGTACTTAGAATTAGCTAAAAAAATATCAAATGAAAAAATTAATTTGCATTTTCACATGATTTATGAGCCAAGATGCTATAAACCAAAGGGGCAGGAAAAGGATGTACACTTGAAATTTAAAACTACTATGGAGTTGCTGTGTGTCCAGAATTCTTAGATGGATGATGAGAAACCCACACAGGACCCTGGGGGTGAGTCACAGCAGAGGGGTAGCCCAGGATAGGACAAGCATCCAGAGCGCTGTCTCCAGAAGCCCAGCTCCTATTTTCATGTGCCCTTTGCCCTCACTGCCCTTGGAAGCAAACTGGGAGATGGTGGAACTGACAGTAGGTGACACCACCTGGAATCATCTCTCGGCCCCCAACTAGAGATGCTGTCACTTTGGGTGGTGGATGGCGTGCAGCAGGCACGGTGGCTAGGCTTGCCCTCCCTGCCCTAGCAATCCTCTCTTGGAATGTGAAGGAAGCCTAGCTGTCCTCCCTTCCTGCCTTCCGGAAGTCTCCTGGGACACCTGCAGGAGTGTGCCCTGAGGTGTAGATGGCACATGTGAGTGGGGGAATCTGGGGCAGTCTTTCCGTCCCTGAGGTGGGAACAGAAGTTCACGTTTAACGAGAGGCTGCCTGGAGGAGAGGCCAGGAGGTGGGGGCTCGTCCAGGGCCTCTCGTCTCCCCTCTGCTACCAATTTGCTGGGGACAGCCATTTGTGCCAATTAGACCCAGTTGGCTGAAGGTCGTCCTGTCTGTGAGACAGGTAAGAAACCAATGGCAAGGACAGAGGATCAAGGAAGGGGACACGTTACTGGTGCCTCCCATTCTTCTCAGACAGTGAGGCCTCAATTAGCCCCCTGAGAAAGTAAGTATGKGTCCCTGCCTTAGTTGGGGCTGGGTGACCCCACAGAGCACTCCAGTTCCCAGACAAATGCACTGAGATCAGCCTCAGCCTTAATGAGCCCTTGACTTCAGAGGAAATTCCGGAAAGTCCTAGTTCTTTCGTGAACTTCTCCACAAACACAGGGCAGTGGTTTAATGGTGAAACAAGAACAGGAAGGAACCAGCCCTTCCCTCTGGCTGAAGTGACCCTTTCTCCTGGGAATTTGTGACTTGCCTTCACGGCTGGTGTTCTGCTGGGTCCTTGGGCGGGGCTGTTGGCGGGCAGGACTTCTCTGAGCAGCTGGCATCCCACCTGTGGGGATGGTGCCTGCAGTGAATGCACCTCCCAACCCATGAATCCGGTGTGACAAATGCCCTCCCTTGAGCAGGGCAAAGGGGACAGGGTATCACTTCCAGGGCTGCTGATGACCTGAGGGGGCTACAGTCAGTGGTCAGAGAACTGGTGGAGAAGCCACATGGCAAGGAACTAGGTTGTCTCCAGGAGCCACAAGAGGCCTCAACCAACAGCCCCCAAGAAAACAGGGACTCCAGTCTCACAGTCACAAATAAATCAATTCCACCAAGAGCTGAATGGGCTAGAAAACAGACCTTCACCTAGTGGAACTTCCAAGTGATTACACTTGGCCTGACCCCCTCGATGGCAGCCTCGTGACATCTTGAGCAGAAGACCCTAAGACCCTAAGCCTAGGCTGGACTCCTGACCACAGGACCTGGGAGCTAATGAACAGGTGCTGTGGTCCTTTGTCACATAGCAACAGAAAACAACAATATGCCATGCCAGACCGGTCACTCGGTATTTGGTCATCAACCCTAAATATGTCATTCATGCTTGGCTAATCACACAGAGCTCTATGATGCGGAATTTTATCTAGAGATTGTATTGTTGACCTGAGCTTCGTGTAATTGTGTTTTTCTTCCCTCCTCCTCCTCCTCCTCCTCCTTTTTTTTAACATATTGTAGTTGGGCACAATACCTTTATTTTATTTATTTTTACGTGGTACTGAGGATCGAACCCAGGGCCTCGCATGTGCTACTCCAGCTCTCTGCCACTGGGCCAACCCCAGCCTAACTGTGGCTTTCTTAACAACATGGTAAGTCCCATGAGGTCCAGAGCTCTGTTCTTGGGCTTTTAGCCCCACAGCACATCAACGTACTTGGCACACAGTAGGTCCACTCACCTGTGATTTGGGGTCTCGACCCTTCCTTTGTCCAACTAAACTCAACAGGTCTTAGATTAAGATATGTGTGGCAACCATTTCTGTGTACCTACTATGTGCCAGGTGAGATCCCAGACATGCAGAGGACAAGTCAAAGGTCCTGCCTTCGAGGAGTTCAGAGTTCAGTGCCACCCCTGAGATCTTGTGGTCTTACTTCCTATTATCAGGCAGAATCTGAAGGGACCCAAAGGTTGCTAGAGATCTCATTCAACCCCTCAAGATCAGGAGTCCACGGAGCCGGTGGAGGTGCACTATGGGGTTCCTCAGGGAATTTTTAGTGACTTTTTTGTGAATTTTGTATTTCCAAAAGAAGAAAAACGGCCCCTGTGGTACCCATCTCCCATTTAAATAGGAAGTCACCACAAACACATTACTGTCCCCTCCCACCCCCATGCCCTATCACACCTGTCCATCAACTTGATGACTCAGGTGGACACATCCACGTTCAAGAAGACCAGAGATCAAAGCTGTATCAGGCATGAACTACTTTTTATTCATAGGATTACAGAATAGGTTGAATTAAGAGGCATATCATTTGTTAACTCTATTTACCAAAAAGAGCTAAATACAGATACAGCCTTAAAATGTATCCATTGTTTCCTGCATACTGCAAAACTTACTTTCATATCATATAAACTATTCTTATGTTACCTAAGTTATGCATTTAAAATACATAAAACAGTACCAAATGGCATATTGGCCTATTTTATCACAGTTCTTATACATTCTTGATAGTCAAAGGGATGGATAGGGAATGCATAGTTACCTACTAGAAAAAGGTGGATTCTGACCCAAGCCATGGAGTACAGTGGATCTGTGTAGATCTCAGAAGTCTTACAGTGTGATTGTTATTTTAATCAGCATCACAATGGGTGGTCTTCAGTAACCACTGGGATGCTGTTCATTGGCCTGGTCATCCTACCCTCTGCTTGCCTGGCTGAGGAAAAGGAAATCATGAGAATTGTTTTCTTCCAGGTTTGTTTCTATTTTCCCAAGATACTTTCCTTCAAGGCCATCTGCCCTGAATTTCTTCCCATTGCCTCTCCATGGTCCCCAAATATGGAACACCTTTCCCGTGGCATCTGCAACTAGCCTGAACCCAGCCTGCAGATGTCCTGGGCAGCGCACGCACTTTCCACCCCAGTGCCCTGTTGAGTGGAATCCCTGGCCACTGTCTAACTAAAGAGCTGCCTTCCAAAGCTGTGAACGAGGAGCTGAGACGCTGCAGAAGCAGAAAGCCTGCTGCAGAGATTTTCTTTAGGCGGCATGCAAGCAGACTCCCCTCCTGAGCACCTCATTTTACCGCTTGCCAGAGAAATTTCCATCGTGAGCGCTCCTGGCAGCCAAACCTCCTGCACCCCACATTGATTTCTTTCCTAAAATACCCAGCATTTCACTCCATGGGGAGGAAAAAACGCAACTCTGTCATTTTCAGCGAGCTCCCTAAAGGCTGAGAGGGCCCGGAGCAATTCATCACTGCTCGTACATTTGGGTTTTTAATTTTTCTCTCACAAAACTCCTCTTGTTTATCTGGTGGATGGTGTGACAAGAAGCAGACTGTGTCCAAACCTCAGCCTCCACCCACAGTGACGTGGGAGGACACACCACATTGCCAAAAAGAGATCCTCTAGGACAACAGAAGACTCTTGGAAGTTTCTGGAAGACTTTCAAGAATGGGGCCTTTCCTGTTATAGCAGTTCCACGAAGCTTGTTCATTGTTAAAAAGAACCAGCAGATGGGCAGTGTCTGTGGGGTATGGAGTTCTTTCTGGCTTATGGATATTTTGTGACACTTCTTATTTATCCAAAGGTGCTGCTGTTGCACAATCATGATAACATGAAGGTCTTTTGTGGGGAGGGTATTGCAGAATGTCACAGAGTTAAAAAAAAAAAATGGAATGCTGCCGGTCAGAGGGAAAGTTCCAGTTTTGCCCCTCACTACTGATAACCAGAGGCGGGCAATCTTCTGAGCTTCTGTGTGTTATGTCCCTCTTTCTGAAATCAGAACACCTGCCCTCCAAGCTGAAGAATCATTTATGATCAAGGAGATGGATACAAATGTACATGGAAAAAACATAAAGCTTTGCTGAAATGCAAGGTGATTTGTGCACTGCTCATGAACACGGTGTTCTTCCCTTCAGAGGGGTTCTTAAAGTCTTTATGAAGACCCACTTCCCACCCCACGGGGTCGGGGGACAAGTCCTCACTTTAAGGCGGTGGCCTTAAAGCCACATGGCAGTGAGGAGGGACCAGTGCAGCAGCCTAGCCACAGAGATCATGAGGAACAGACAAGCTGAGCAGGTGGCCACCCCATGATGACAAGTGGCCCTCCTCCGGCTACCTCCATGAGGGGCACTCCTACCTGTCTCTCCGCTTGGGCTTTTGTGGGCCTCATTTGGTTGGTTTTTGTTTGTGGGCTTTTTTTTCTTTTTTTTTTTTTTTTTTAACATTATTACTGGAGAAAAGCTTCTTGCAGAAGTTGCTTAAAACTCCAGGGATTCTCAGGATGGGGCCATCAAATTAACGAAGCAGAACTTCTACCACCTAATGCCAAGAACATCTAGGCTCCCTTGGTAGTTTAGCCGGAACAAATCTCTCCTCCCACAGCCTAGAACTACAGGTTGCAGACTCCAGTCTTGTATAAGCTTTTGTAAAAAGAAAAAAGAAAATTGGATTACGGTACCCACCCTCTCACACCCTGTCCCCGCCACCTACTTGAGTTCTTTTACTTCCTGCTGCCCCGTCTGGATTCAACAAGCCCCCACCCCAAGCCCAGCACCTGCTGCTCCCTGGTTCTCCAATGCTAAGAAATGGTTCCCAGTGTGGTGCCCAGTCCACAGTTTTACCATGCCGAGGTGGCACTACAGAAAGATGTCCYATCTGCCTCTTCTATGAACTAATGGCTGGAACCTGGAACATCCTTTCAACCTGGCACAAAGGCAGGCACTGTCTCGGTGGCCCCTTACTGCTTGCCCAGGGCCTGTTTCTCCACCCTGGCCTGTCTGAGGGGTTCCATGCACCGGGAAGAGTTRGCCTGTCATCACAGCTGGAGCGATAGCTGAGCTGTCCCACCTGCAGCCTGCGATGTGGAGATCTGGGCATCTGTAGGCCATTCAAATTAACCAAGACTGCAAAGAATGCAGAAAAGGGCTTTGTGTTCAAAAATGAAAACAAACCACTTTTCTCTGTTTGCTTGGTATTTAGTAGAAGAGTTGCAAAAACCACACTTTGGACCGTGGGTGAGCTGGTTCCCTAAACCCCCGGCTTCCTGGGTGGCAAGCCTTGGCCTTCGGTTCCAGAATGTTCCCAAGAATGCTGATGCAACACCAGCGTCTCATTCTCTGAGTGCCATTGACTGCTCAGTCTGCGTTGCTCAAAGTCAAAAAACAACAAACACATTCACATTTGGGGCAAGACATCCACCTACTCATGATGTGGCCAATAATCATTAAAACCTAATCCCACCCTGCAATTGCAAATTTCAGGGCTGGAAGGAGTTGCTGGGGTACTCTTTGCAAATCTCCGACTAAAGCATCCACCTCCTACCCTCTGAAGAGAAGCAGCCACCCAGGCAGAACATCCCCTAGGACACTCCCACAAAAGCAGACCCCTGTGCTTCCCCGATGTCCACACCAGAAGCCAGTTTGAGACAGGCCACCTGGTCCCGGAGCACAGACCTGTCTATGGGATTCAGCTAGTCTGGTTCTASCTGCTCTCTCCTGCTCAGCCTGGAAGTCCTGCCTGTCCATGAYGTCCCACCACCAACGAGGCCCTCTGCCGAGTGTGGGGCTCCTGGGGTCTCCTTGCTAAAGCACTAGGAGAAGAGGGTGCGTCCCCGTTATAAACGCCCAGCTGGTGATTTGATGGCTGCAGCACCTTCAACAGGGCTGCTCAAGCAGCAGCGAGACCAGCAACTCAACAGGGCAGGACTGTCCTAGGAGGAGGGAGGTAGGCTGGGGGCAGGTAGGCAGGCTGCTACTCAATCACTTGAAATATTAAGTTACCCAAAGGGCAAAGACATGCACAAACCAAAGGGCCACCTCTGAGTTTCAAAGCACAACGAGATCTGTGTATAGTCCCCTTGGACTCCATAAATTCTCACTTCAAAAACTCTACCAAACGCACATCAGATGGCAATAGCTGCTCCGTCCCGCTAAAGGACAGAGTAAAAAGCACCTTTCATTCTTTGGCCTGTCTGCTAGTTACCCACAAACACAAAGGAGGGGTTGGGGAAGCAGAGGAGTCACAGAGCACATCAAGCAAGCATTATTGCTCCGGCCACCGCAAGGGTCAGCTTTGAACCACGCCAGGGGAGGGAGGAAGTCCTTTGTCTCACTGCAGGGCCCGCAGCCCATGCTGGGCCTGGACAGGTGTCGCCAGACGTTGTCTCTGCGGCAAAGCAAGCAATGTCCAGCTTTACACTGTGAACACACCCAGGACAAATATCCCGTGGTATAAGCCAGCAAAGAGCCGAGGTTCTGGAATGCAGGAGGACTCGGGAAAGCTGGGCGATCCTTTCAGGAAACTAGGATGGCTCAAAATAGCACTGCTGAGTGGTTTAAGATTTTTAAACTAATCATCAGCAAATCTTTTCAGCTGACTTTGGCTTTAACAGTTCTTACCAAAAAGATTGCTGAAATGAAATGAGAAGGGTCCATGAGTTTGGTTTTCTTTTTCTTTTTCTTTTTCTTTTTTTTAAATTTTGCTATAAGAACTATCCCGTCTTGTTCAATTTTCTCCTTCCTCATTAAAAAGAAAGAAAAAAAAAAAGCACATTACTTTCTAGATGGCAAGAGGAAATGCTGTACTCTCAGAAATTACAGGTTTTGAGATGTCTTTTTAAATGGTAGAATGGGCATCTCATGCGGTTAGCCAATAAATGCAATCCCTGATTAAAATGTGAGTCCTAAAAGTCGGAAAACTTCTAATTATTTCCCCAGTGCAATTGAGATTGTCATTTCAGAGCTCTGAGCCTGGCTTATTGTATTTTATTATTTCTTCCTGGTCCTCTCTTCTGAGGGCTAATGCCACAAGTCTTTTAAACCCACCTGTCACCCTTCACAAACTTAAGTCGACAATGATGTGTTCAAAAATCTTTGTTTTCCCTTTGAAACTGGATGCAAAAAAGAAATCCCTCCTGTCGGTGGAGACGGCAGTGAAGGAACGAGGGGCCTGCACGTAGATCTCCTTGAACTTTTTGAACAGCTGCTTCTCCTTATCCCACTGGTAGATCTGTGAGAAGGTGTAGTCGCTGCCCAGCGCCAGGTAGTGGTTCTCTTTAAAGGAGAAGGGCTGCAGGGTCATGGCCCCCCGGGAGGGGAGCGCCTGGATCTCCACGAACTGCTTGCTGTTCCACCTCATGACCCGGGAGTCCCCTATGAAGCGGGTGAGGGACAGGTAGAGCGTGTTCTGCATCCTGAAGCTCTTCACAGCCAGCACGTCCTCCATGTTGGGGATGTCACCGTGGGGGACGAACTTCTTGGAGCTTTTATTCCACTGGAGGATGATGGGGACCTGGGAGCGGCTGGACAGGATGAGGTGCGACTTGCCATCRATGTCCACGAACTCGGCGTCCGTGTCGCGGAACCACTCGTGCACCGACTGGTAGGAGTAGAAGCCCTTGCTGTTCCACTTGTACACCGTGGACAGGCCGGCCTTGGAGCTGTCCGCGATGATGAAGAACGTCTCCGCGTCGATCTGGAACAGCTCGATGTCGTTGGGCTTGGAGATGCGCGACACCTCTATGTCCTGGAACTTGACGAACTTGGTCCAGCTCTCGTCGTATTTGTAAATGTGGGAGCCGCCGAAGAGCTGGGCCACCACCACGAAGACCTGGTCCTCGATCAGGATGGCCTTGCAGCCCACGATGGACTGGCCTGCGCCCCGAGAGAGGGAGGGAGACGGACAGGTTAGCCTGGCACCTCCAGATGACCGCGGGACCTGTGGACAGCCACTGTGGCAAGCAGCTCGACAGCTCCCCCTGGAGACTTACGCAGAATGACCACGGGACCCCGCAATTCCTCCTCCTGACACGCACCCCAAGAATGGAAGCAAATCCTCAGAGGGAGCTGCACCAAAAGCTATTGGTGTCCCCCACATTCCTGTGTTCGATCCTATCTCCAAGGCGATGGTGTTAGAAASTGGGGTTTGGGGGAGGTGAGTAGCGCCCCCATAAAAGAGGCCCAGAGAACTTCTTCTGGCCTCCCACCATGTGAGGGTACAGCAATCAGACTATCTGTTATGACACAGAGTCTGCCAGGGCCTTCATCCTGGATGCCTCAGTCTCCCAAACTGTGACAAAAAATTCCTGTTGAGCAGCCCCATCCCAGACACCCATGCTCACAGCGTCATTCTCCATGTCAGCGGAAAAGCAGAAGCAGCTCCAGTGTCCATGATGGATGAAGGGACAGACAAGGTGTGGCTGACACATATAATGGAATACTACTCAGCCCTAAAAAGGAGGGGAATTCTGACACATTCTACCACATGGACCTTGAAGACTATGTGCTAAGTGAAAACAGCCAGGCATGAAAGGACAGATGCTGCTTGACTCCACATAGGAGGTGCTCAGAGCAGGCGAGACGAGGAGAAGGAGAGGGAAGGCTGATGAATCAAAGTCGCTCTTTGGTGGGTACAGGTGAAAAGAGTTCTAGGGATCACTGGAATGTATCTGACCCTATGAAATAAGTACACTAAAAGGGTTAAGATGGTAAATTTTATGTTATGTGTATTTTGCCACAATTTAAAAAAAAATTTTTTTTTTGGTACCAAGGAATGAACCCAAGGTAGCCTGACCACTGAGCCACACCCCCAGTCCTTCTTTTATGTTTTATTTTGAGATAAGGTCTCATGAAATCCTTAGGGCCTCACTAAGTTGCTGAGGCTGGCCTCAAACTTGCAATCAATCTTTCTGCCTCAGCTCCCCCGACCCCAGTTACCGAAATTACCAGCATGCACCACCACCTCAGACTAAAAAAACAAAAAGAATTTTAAAAACTCTTTTAAAAATGTGCCACCATGGAAATGGGCATGTGAGGTGGTTAGGGCCTGCCAGTCTGTAGAGGCAGGCATCCGACTCAGGAAATTCACTAGCACATGGGAGAAGTGTCTTGGCATTAGTCAATAATTGTACGTTAATTAGCTTAATGGGACTAGTCCACAGTGAATGCGTATTTCCAAATATCTCATATGTGATGAATATTTACAATTTTTATCTGTCGATAAAAAATATTCAAAATAAATATATATTTAAATAATATTTAAAATAAATATATGTATATACATATACATATGCATATATATATATATATATATATATATATATACACATATTTTATACTTAAGAAGAAAAAGTCTTTCTCGACTGGCAGAGTGGGCAAGGGCACGGCTGCTCCCCTGGGTAGTAAGGCAGGGTGAAAAGCAGGGGTCAGGCCTGAAAGCAGATGTTCCCAGGGCTCTGGAAGCCATGCAGACTCTGGAGGGTTCTAGAAGACCAGGGAGGCGGTGGGTGTTAGACCTCAGCCTCCACAGCAGATGGCCTTGGGTTCAAACCCCAGGCACAAGGCGGTAGGGTCCAACGCTGGGCCAGGGAACTCAGCTCTGGGGCTCCAGCCCTCATGGGTACACAGAGAGGAAGGCAGGCGCGGAGCTGACCTTGAGAACTAGAGGACACCTCACCCTGAGTGTTAGCACAGCAGGGCAGCATGGAGGGGCGTCACAACTGGTACCATCTTCACCCTACACCAGAAGCAAACTTCTTGGTGGTCAAAAGACCCTACCCCCAGTGCTCGCCCACAGYGGGCACTGTGCAGACACCCGCAGAATGGGCAAGGTCCCGGGGTCAAGGTCAGGCGTTTGATGGAAGAGGGGGCCATGCTCCACAGGGACTCTCTTCTCTGGGTCTCACCCGYGGTCCTGTTCCCCACTGTACCTGGACCTCCCCACTTCCCCATCCAGAAGCCAACCAGCAGGAGGACCAACAAATCTCCAGGGTTTCCTACCCTCTGTCTCATCATTCCATGAAGCCATTTCCTGGAAGGTGTGGTGATGGCCCAGGCCCGTGGTTCATGACTGGGGAGACAGAGGCAGGAGGATCTCAAGTTTGAGGTCCGTCTCTGCAACTTAGAGAGACCCTCAACAACTTAGCAAGACCCTGTCTCAAAATAAATAGAAATAAAAGGGACTGGGGATAAAGCTCAGTGGTGAGTGCCCCTGGCTCCAACCCCCAGTACCAAAATAAAAAAAAAAAAAAATGAGTTCTTTCTTTCCCTTAGTTTGCTAGGCAATTTGGACTCAGATGAATTTGGTCTGTAAATTATAAGGATTAATTACCCAACGTCTGTCCTGAGGATTAACTCTGAGGGCAGACGGTGGGTAATAGAATGGTATTCACTTTTCTCTTTCACTGTTCTACACTCCATCCAAGAGCCTGACCCCTTTTCTCTGTTTAAAACTAGGGCATTTTTTTTTCTGAATAAAAAGTGTTAAATGTTCACCAAAACAAAATGTAAAAAATAATAATTAGTAGAACTAACAAAGTGGGTATTTACAACCAGGCACTACATTCTAAGCACTTTTGTGTGTATTTACTTATTTGATTTTCACAATTACCATCTGAGGAAGGTACAATTCTTGTCATCAACATCCCSATTTAACAGAGGATGAAACAGACAGTGAAGTTCACCAATTTACACAAAGTCACACAGCTAGTATGTCGTGGAGTCTGGGGTTTAATCCAGCAGTCTGTGACTCCTAAGTACCCAAAGGCATGAAGAAGAAAATAAAAACCACTTGTACTACAAACATACAATGAGAATAACTTGATAGATTTCTTTAGTCCATACACAAATTCAAATATGCTTATTTTAAAATATTGGGATTTATATTACACACATACTTTCTAGAATCTACCTTTTTCTCTTGACTTCTCTGTTGTATGTAAACATTTCTACAATTTGATTTTTAAAATACTACACAGTATTCCACGGCATGGATGCACCATATTTTATTTAGCTAATCCCCTGCTGTTGGACATAGCAGTTATTTCTTATTTTTCATTATTGTCAAGTAACATGTTTCTTTTAACATATTGTTAAATAACTTGTTTTGGAACCATCTGGCGATGTTCATAAATACAGGAATTGCTGGGGCAAATATTGTGAATGTTTTTAAGGCTTTGGGGCTTCAACTGTCAAACTGCTCTCCAAAAGGTGCATCAATTTCCACCCTCCCAACACTGATAGTGCACACTCCTGTCTCCTTCTGAGCGGCCTGGCTGTGCAGGCCCCACTGCCCAGAGGAGTCCTAGAGGTCTGCCTGTCACAGCCAAGGGGACCCATGAGACAGTTTCTTGGAGAGGCTGCCTCACAGTTCTGTAAACACTTTTAGTCTCTATGGAGTTGTCAGTAGCAGCAGAGTGTGTGTGTGTGTGTGTGACTGCCCAGAGGAGTCCTAGAGGTCTGCCTGTCACAGCCAAGGGGACCCATGAGACAGTTTCTTGGAGAGGCTGCCTCACAGTTCTGTAAACACTTTTAGTCTCTATGGAGTTGTCAGTAGCAGCAGAGTGTGTGTGTGTGTGTGTGTGTGTGTGTGTGTGTGTGTGTGTATGTGTGCACGCACAGGGAGAGAGATAACAGGTGGGAACACACATAGCTTCCGACACCACAAAGCAAACAAACCCCTAAACCAAAAGCAGGAGAGCTGAGATGTAGAGAGAATGAGAAGGAGCAGACACTAGTGTGATCATGACCCTGGTTCCTCCCTCTCCTTGGGGACAGACAGACAGCTGGAGCTACGCCATTGGCACCGAGGTTACCAGGAACCCAAAGGGGGAAGCGGGTACCCCTCTGAGTCCTTGGAACCCCACTCTTACACAGACTGAGAAAATCCTGCCTAGCCCTTGCTGACTCAGGGATCACCTCACAGCCACCCAAAATGACATGAGGGGACCTGGTCTGAGGAGTGGGGGAGGGGGACATCCACATCCACCTTGATCCTGTGCCCCTGCGTGTCCACCTGTGCTGTGGGATCTTCCAGGCTCATTTCCAGCTACCAACAGTGAGGCTCCCTCTCCCAGCCAGGGGATCTGCCCTGTCTGTCCCCACCCCTGCCCCGCCTCCCTCAGGTGGTCCCGGCTGCTCCCTGTGCTGGGTACAGCCATAGGGAGGCTTTAATTAAAGTAGACAGTTAGGGTCTGGGGTGGGGGGAAGAGGTCCTGTTTTGTCCCCAGCTTGTTGTGGTGTCACTCCATGCCAGGCACTGAGCTGTCACACACCCATTCCCCATGAATCCTAACCAGAGTCCCCRAGTCCAAACCCTGCTGAGCCATTTTACAGATGAAAAGTCATCAAATGCCCATTTCATAGGTGAAAGGGCCACTGTCCCTGCTGGAAAGAGCTGGAGCCAGAATGACCAAAAACCAGCCTGAGGTCGGGGCTCCCAAGTTCAACTACCACAGTGCTGTGACAAGCGGGTCCAGGGGGACCCAGCTCCGAGGACTCAGGGTTGGAGACCAAGGGCTGGAGGAATCCTGGTAATGAGCAAGGTCTAGCCTGAGGTCTGCCCCTGGCCACAGCCACTCCAGGACACTGACGCTCACCCACCACCACTGCAGCTCCATYAGTCCAGGGCCCCATGGCTGCCCCAGGCCCGAGTGCCTGCAGGGGCTCCTTGGGGAGTTGCTCCGCTTCCACCTTTGAACCCCTTTCCCCAGAGTGCTGAACTCTCTCTCTCCCCCCATCTCTCCACATCTCTCCATCTCTCTCCCCCATCTCCGTGTCTCTCTCTCTGTCTCTTTCTCCTCCATTATAATCCAAACTCCTCTAGGGCAGAGGTTTTCATCTCGCTTAGTCACTGCTGTGTCCCCAGCCTGGCCCAGAGAAAGTACTCACGAAATGTTTGGGAATAAATGAAGGAAGGAAGAATGAATGCATTGGGGGATGCCACCATCTGCCATTGTCCCCAGGGTAGGGGGCGGGCAGTGCCGTCCCCTCCCACCAAYATCAGCTTGGGTCAGAGAAGGAATAGGGTGCCACTGGGACAGGTCCCAGCCCTGTCCCTGAATGAACATGGAAGGACTTGATGTGTGGAATCCTCCCACATCCTGGGGACACGTGTCCTCCCCATTCACCGAGGACAGCTGCCTCAAGAGGCACACCAACTTCCCTGCACCCAACAGGCACCAACGCTCACCACTGGTCAAACCCTCAGCTCTGAGGTCGATATCCCAGGTCTCTCTTGGAAAGAGGGCTTGGTCCCTCCCCGTGGGCAGGCAGCCCAGGGCCACTGCGTAAGGGGCTGCTGTGAGTTGCCCAGGAGAGCAGCCAGGGGCCCCCCCAGGCCGCAGCAGCCCTGGGCCAGAGCAAAGCTTCWGGCCGCTCCCGTCTCCTGCCCTGGGGCAGGAGGAGAAAAGACCTGGCAGCCCGTTCATCCTTCCCCTCTCCCAAGTCCAGAAAAAGAGGGAAGCAGGAAACACTGGGCTTCGGAGGCCTTCCACCCCCCCCCCCCACCACCACTTGGCGGCTGCACCTGGGCTGCCCTGCGCTGAGCCTGCACCTCCAGCTGCTGCTCAGGAAGGTGAGCTCAGCACCCAGAGGCCAGATGGCCCAGCGACAGCAAGCGGCTCCTCTGAAATGCCATCCGCAGGCCCATGAGCAGTGCCTCCCCAGGGTGACACCGCACTCCTCACCTGCTGCAAGGCCACCGTGAGCGACCCCTAGAGCCTCCCAACCCCGATGTTCTACCTCCTACACTCCGGCTGCGCAGGTTAAAGGGAAAGCTGCTCTACACTAAACAAGGGCCTGGAGAGGAAGCTCTGTGGGGGTGGGGGGCTGTTGGTAAAGTCAGCACCACATCAGACTGCACTTGATCCCGGAGTAGTTCCTGAAAGCATTTTTTTTTCAATTGTATCCACTTATTTCAAAAGCAAACAGACATTTTTTAGATCTAAAACCCTGGGATCCCATAACAGAAGCCTTAACTAAGCMAAATCCCAAAGGCCTGAGTTGAGCGATCTGTTGGTTCTTATTTTGTATGTTCCTATTAGAGGAGAGCAGTTTCGGAGGATGGAGCTGGAGGGGCGTGGGTGGGTGTGGAGTGTGTTAGTTAATCAGCTTCGCAAGTTGGAGCTATTACGGAGCTGTTAAGARGCTGGGCAGACAGGCTGCTACAGCAACACAGGTCCCAGGGCCCTGGGGGGACTTCTGCCACCATACAATGCTTTCTGCTTCCCACATGCAGCCCTGGCCCCTGCCCCCTGTCAGCGGGCTCTCCACCTGTGGTCTCTGCTCTGTCCAATAACGGACCACACAGATAAGACACAGGAAGGACCAGGGTGGGCTGCCATGGTGCCACCTCCGACTGCGTTAGAGTGCCAAGTCCTCCCTCGACATGACTCAGGAGCCCAACTCAGCCACAACGCACCTGTGATATTGTCGTAGCTCCGGAAGTTCATCTCGATGTGGTCCCACTCCAGAACCATGCAGTTCTCCATGCTGGGCTGCGCGATGGCCACGTACACGTCGTTCTTGGAGTTGAACGTGTCCACCGACACAGACTGGTAGGGCAAAGTCTGGTGGACAACAAAATCTGGGGATGGGCATTAAAAACAGTTCRTGAGATCTGCAAACTCTCCCGTGGGATTCACCAACCGCCCCTGCCCTTCTCTCCTTCCCATCACAGGTTCCAGAGGCCTGAGGAGGGAGCAGGAGWGTGGGAGCCAAGCAACGAGTTCTGGCGGGTTTTACTCTGCAGATTGCAGAGGACCATCAGCTTCTCATGCTGCTTCCTGTGGATAAACAGCCTCATGGGTTTGGCAAAAGATAACTCGTTAAACAAAACTGGTGAGACCTGGCTTTCAACAAGCCAAGGCCAAGAGGAGGCTGCTGAGAGTCTCAAAGCTGGCACACAGATTGCTCTGTGACCAGGGGGTGCTGTGGTCCACTTCCAGCCCTCCCAGCACAGYCCTGCAGGAAAGCAGCCTGCTTCTGAGACTTACCTGGAGATCCCCTGTGGTTGGACGCACCCCAACAGTGCCCCCGCTGTTCAGAACTGACACTGCACTCCAGAAGGCAGGCGCCATCTGGAAACCAAACCAAGCCCTCCCCTGCCATCCCAGAGGTTTCCCAGCCAAGGGGGCAGTGAAACTACAGGTGCTGTCCTGGGGTCTGGACCCTGGCACACATTCTCCTGGTATTTCATGGTGAGTCGAGGATCCCCGTCTGTGTGGCTGCCCTGAGCTGCAGCAGACTTTCTGTATTATACCCGACTGGGGAAGGACATAGAATTGCCAAGGAACGGAGCAAGCATGTGCTTGGGAGCAAGGCTAGCTGGTGTGCAGAGTAGCTTCGGAAATGTAGAGGAGAAGGAGTCTGCTTAAGACACACACACACACTAATAAAGGTTGTGAAATAAAGTTTGAGTTACATTTTTGGCCAGAGGTGCTTTAGTGTGTGCCACTCTTTAATAACACGGGGCCATGATGGGTGCCAGCTAARGAGAGTCATCCCTAGGAGGAAATCCTGGCGTTTCCCAGCTCTTTCTCACCCAGAGCTTAACCATCCCATTCCAGTGCCCTGTACTCTGCCAGGCCTTYCCTAAGCAGCCCAATCCATGAAACTCGCTGGGCTGACCCTAGGCACGATCGTTTAAATCTTATTATTTACCATGACTTCAAATAACATCATAGTCCAGTCTGGAGATAAGGGAAAGAGCCTTGAGCATTTTAGAGTGCCCAGAGAGGGCSAGCACCTAGCCTTGGCCACACAGCCAGATTGATGTGTCTCCTGAACCTAGGGCTCCCAGAAGTCAGGCCTGGGTCCTACTCTGAGCCCCCCACAGCTCAAGCCCACGGCGGCCACTCAAGAAATAACCACCGATTGGGAAGCCTCATCAGAGATGTCACTCAAGAAAGGCACCAAGGGGCCGCTCAGTAGTGAGCAAAGGAGGAGCAGAGGAAGGAAAGGAGACAGCAGTAGCTGGGCAGGCTGAGGTGGGTGCCATGGATCAGGCACAGGAAGGGCAGGTGGAGGACAGCGCCAGGGCTGAGGGGCGGGGCGATGGGCACCAGAAAGCACACTGGTCCTGAAGGCCCATGATSTGAAGCTACCGAAGACCCACATCACCCCCAGGTCTCATGCACTTGAATCAACCCCCAGGTCTCATGCACAGCATGGGGCAAGAACATGGACCTCCCAAGCGAAACGGCAGGATAGATCAGGCCATGTGGTAGAAATGCCTATCCTAGCGCCCCACACGTTAATAAATGCGTTACTGAGGTCCAAGATGAGAGAGCAAGCTTCTAAGGCAGACCTGGCCCAAGAGAGGCAGTGTCCACTTTAATGACATCTAAAGTAAGATGCTGGCACTGAACCACCACCTCCTTGCAGAATGACCTTGAACAAATGGCTCAACCCATCTCTGCCTCAGTTTTCTGGATTGCCCTGCCCTTACCTAGCACAAAGTGAACTTCAGCAAGTTAACTTGAAGAAGTGCCCCCCCCAACTCCGGATGCACAGTGGGTGCGTGATAAACTCTTTTCTGCTTAATGAGGTGGGGTGGTCTGGCTGGCCCCAAGGACCGTCGTAAAGACTACCGCAGAGCGCATGCGGCCGAGGACGGTGCCGGTGCAGGAAAGAGGGAGGTGGGAGGTGGGCYGCATCCCTGGGAACCAAGAGGGAGCTGCCTCCGCAGCCCGACAGGCAGGAGGTGATGGACAGTGTAGGGACGAGTGACCCTAGTGGACAGGGCAGCTCCCACCCCAGCAGCAAGCGAGCAGAGCATCCTGGTGAAGACAGACTGGACTTCAGAGTCTCCTCTGCTCAAGGTTAGCTGTGTGACCTTGAGCAAGAAGACGGAGCCTCAGGTTCCTCACGATAAAATGAGAGGACACCAACTTGCCAAGGCTGCGCCCAGCGCGGRCCTTCGGAGGCTGCTCCCGAGCTTTCTAGACACAACCACGCAGCACCTGGATGCTGCTGGAAGATGGAGGGAAGAGTCCCAGCCGCTCCAGGCCCCGCCCCGCCCACTCCTAAAGATCATAGTGCAGTTCCATCAAAGGCTAAGAACAGAGCCACCCCTGCAGGCACCAGCAAAGCCAGCGCAGGAGCCGCCAAGCCTGGTTGACCTCACAGGCTTTGCTGGCTTCTGTGTTCACGCGTATGTGGTGCTCCGGTGCGCCTTTTCTGGGGATATAAAAGGATTCCAAATGCAGCGAGTTCTTTTAATTACAGCCGGGATGGCTGTAAACTCCTCTGCTCGTCTCTGGTTGCAGCGGGCTCATCGGAGCCTGCCAGAGGTTCTAAACACTCCCTTGATGGCCATAACTCACGCTCCGCCTTCCCATTAGTCTCCCAACTGCGCTCTCAGTTCTCAGAAACACGAGCATTGGCTTTCAAATGCAGGCTGTTTAAAGTGCAGACCAGAAAAGTTTCCATTTTTATTGAAGAATCCCAGGATGAAAAGAGGCAGCCAGGAGAGCGAGCATTCTCCAGATCTACCCTTTAGCAGCCCCGGTTCCATTTATTTTTCCAAAACAGTGGTTTCCTCATATTTTCTCTATATTAACCGGCACAACACAGACTGTTAAGTCCCTTGAATGACAAAGCTACTTCTTAGTAGAAGACACCAGCAGCAGCCCGGCCATAAAAGGAGAAGACAGAAGGCAGAGAAAGAGGAAAGGGCAAAGGAAGCTCATGGATGTGTGTGCGTCTGTGCGCATCAGAGCCGCAGCCGGGAAGCATTCAAATATCTTCTCCCACCTCCATCTTAATTTACCTTTCCCAAGCCGCAAAGCAGAGTTCTTGTGGAGACAACTCAAAGAACACACATCCTGACATGACATCAATTTACGGGTGTTGAAATATTAATGGCACTCTCGGCCATTCACACTGGATTAAGTTCAGGATGTCAGTGGGTCTCTGACAATTTAGGCCTTTCTCCCCCTGGAAAATCAACAGATTTGTACGAGGCTATTTATAGCACTGGCAGAAAATAAATTATACATGATGCTGAGCCTAGGGGGAGAGAAAGTGCACATTAATGCATTATTTCTCTTTGCGTTTYCATCAGCCCCCAAATGGGGAAGCTCCTAGGACAATTAGGATGCAAAGTTCACTCCCTCCAAGGAATTTAGAGAATTATCCACCTAACACGGGCCATCATAGGTAGGTAACGGACATTTTTGAGTAGTTAAAAATAGACTTGAAGGGGGAGGCTTTGGAAGAACTGTGATTAATCGGAAGAGCTGGAGCATCCAGTGGTGGCTGCCTCGTGTTAATTAGTCCCCTTTGCCAAGAAACAGAGCAGTAATGGTGCCTTCCTCTCTCTGGGCCAAATGGGGAGATCTACTAGAGGACATTGTCTCCTTTCCTGAAAAGCTGAGCTAAGAGGAAAACAAGGCTCTGGGAAATCTGCTTCTTCCCCAACCTCTAGCAAGGAGACAGCAGCCATACCCTGAGCTGCCCATGGGCTTTGATTCTTCCATCAGTCCTCGTTTGCTCCCCAGCCTTTGGTGAAGCACCAGAGACCCGGGCTTGAGCTGAGCAGAAGGCAGCAACCCCAGACCTCCACAATTCACTCAACTCTTTCCTGTATCGCAGAGACTACACTTGGGGACAGTTTACACATTGTGGTGCCACCTTTTCCTGATGAGAGAAACTGTAAGAGCTAATGTGTCCTTGAGTCTCAAAAAAACAGCAAAGATAGCACTGTCCTCTCTCTTTCCCAGAAAGCCCTATGCTGGCTTTCCAAAGCGGGGCAGGAAGCTTGCTAGCAAAGACAAATACACACAAGACAGACACAGCCCTACAGGGTTCTGTTTCAGGACCTGGCGGCCTTGGTTCCAAACCATCTCCTTTCCAATAATCATTCTCAGTACCTGGGTCATTTTTATAACCATCTAGATGGTCCTAAAGTCAGAAATCGTGTTTTCTTGTATGAATGAATCCCTACTCCCAAGGTCCTCTGTGGTCCACGTCAATCCTCTCAGAAACTGGCCAGTTTTCCCCCAAGAGGGCCAGTTCAGTAAGAACAGAACAATGGGAGATGCTACCTTCACCTTGGGAATTAGAGAACCCCCCTGAAAAACTAGACAAGAGGCAGAAAGGAGCCCCAGCGAGCTCTGGTTTAGCATTTCATACTAAATGATCTCAAATGCCACCTTTTGGTGCAAATGTCATTGACTATGACCTCTGATTTATTGTTCTGGCCCCACAGTACAATAAATAACCTCTTGGTGGCCTCAGCTGGCTAAAGGGCACCTGCCAATTACACAGCTGAATAAGTCCCCAGTCAATGATGAAGGACAGGGCACTCCCATGAGACTTCAGGCTTTCAATCAAAAAGAGAGAACTTGTAGGGCCCCTTATTTACAAACAAAGGCATCTAGAAAGAATTTTCACTTTGTGGAATTTTGTTTATCTGTGGGGAGGGTGTAAGCAGGTTCTGGCCTCAAGGTGATATTTTCTTCATGGAATTTGGGTGTCTTTTGAGTTTCTGCAACTATTTTCTGAGTTCTCATTCCTGCCGCTTCTGCTGACATGCCTAGGGGCTTTGTAGATACCAACTCTCAGCCTAAATGTTTATTTTTACAAACATCTAGAAAGCAGGTTTCATGCTGTGGATTGATCCTCTCTCCTTTAAAAACTGGCTTTAGAAGCCGGTAGAAACTGTGCCTGCGCCTTTCATATGGAGATGCTCACCTGCTCTCTGCCTGCTGTGACAGTTGAGCCAGTTGGTATTTTAATTCTATTCTATAACCTGAAAAATGTTTAAACTAACACCCTGAGGCCAGGCCTAGAAAAGCAAAACTGAACTTTACATTTTTCTCTCAATGATTTTGTTTCTTTTGATAACTTATATTATTTTTCTTTGGATAACTCACATTTTCTTCTTTGCTACTTATGATAATATACCTAGTGAGCTCTTCTTACTTGGAACTACAAGAGCATTTTATAGATTTAGAAGTCTGGTATTCAACTTCCAATAAACATTGTCTCAGTGAATCAGGAGAAAGCGAAAGACAAAATAATTCAGGTGTGTGACTGATTTCCCATGAAACAGAGACAGACTTGAAAGATGTTCTCATGCCAAACTCCTGAGTTTATATTTTGATCTTAAACGAGAAAGAAAGAAAACTTTAGAGAACTTTGAATTTTGTCAAGAATCAAAATGAAAGCAGCGCAGTTAACAAAAATCCTTCCAAACAGTTGAGAAAGTTTGCCCACCACGTGGTCTCATTTCTTATAGAATGCTGGAACTTTCTCTAGCTTTGGTAGGAAACCTCTACATTCTCATTTCCTGGCACCCTGTTGACAACCTACAAGGAAAACGAAGGGCTTGTTCTAAATGTCCACCTTTGGCAAGGCAGGCGCTGGTACCTGTGGTTGTGCACTCGTAGTCGAAGCTGGCCACCTCGTTCAGCTTCTTCTCCTGGTATTCTGGTGGGCCAGAGCACAGCACGTCGGAGACGGTGGAATTGGTCATCTTCAACCACAGATACAACCACTTGGCTTTGCAGTCACATTCAAATTTATTACCCCTTAAATCCCTGGAAGAGAGAGAGAGAGAGAGAGAGAGAGAGAGAGAGAGAGAGAGAGAGAGAGAGAGAGATTTGATATGCTTTGGTAGTGACGTAGGTGTATTAACCGCCTGACATATTTTAAACTCCTTAAACATAGAATTTTTTAAAAGGGCATTTCATGCTTCCTATCTCTTCTGTTTATCATTGTCCTTTTTTAGTGCTTCTTGGGGCATAATTCCAGCTGTATAACATATAGACAGTTCCCAGAAATGGCATGTCACCTTTCCTCCAACCCTCTTGAAATTGTCACCATGTGGAAATGGGGGAGGGACAATAGAAGGACACCCACAATGTAGGTTCCCCAAAACAAAACAGGATGCTAGAGGAAGAAGCTTAAGATCCTATCAAACCATGTCCAGGAAGACGTGACGAACACCACACGGTAAAGCAGATGGACTTGCTGTTTGGGAGAGTGGGGTCCTCCCGTCCAGCAGGCCTAACTTACCATTGGCCTAATGGTACCAAGTCTACTATCAAATGGCAAAATCCAGCACAGGGCAAACCGCACAYGGTTTCCCAGGGCGTACTATTTGCTATCGATTGTTAACGACAACGTAAAAGAAATGCAGCAAGAAGCAGGGGGGATTGGAAGATACGATTAACCAGGACCCCATGACAAGTGTACACAGACTTAATCTCATTACTTACAGTTCAATCAGAGAGTCTAAGTCACTGAAGACGTCCCTTGGTAGCGCTTTAATGTGGTTATTGGCCAAAGAACTAGAAACAGAGAGTCACATTATGATGTGGTTATCATCTGCACGCTCTGACACTCTGAAGTCCCTGTAAATATAGCTAATGACTTAAATAGCTCTCGACCTCCTCATCACAGCGTGGCTTAATTCCTGGCCTTGATCATCAGCACTGGGAGAAAGACATGAGCTCACTTACACAAAGAAAACGTTGTAGATGTCAGATTACCAGGGAAGCCTTTTTGTGTATGTTATTTATTTATTAGTAGTACTGGGAATTGAACCTAGGGTCACTTAGCCACTAAGCCACATCCCCCAGCCCTTTTTTGTACTTTATTTAGACACAGGGCCTTGCTAAGTTGCTGAGGCTGGCTTTGAACTAATGATCCTCCTGCCTCAGCCTCTTGAGCCATTAGGATTACAGGCGTGCACCACTGCACCCAACTTGTGTTTGCTTTTAAAATAAGCATTTATAAAGCTGTTTACGTACATCTGTTAAACTTCAGATGGCTTTCTGTTTCCTGGAAAAGTCCCTTTGATGGTGTGCAGGACTGTCCCAGCTCATCCACGAGAGCGCATCTCACACTGCTCAGCTCCAGTCGAGTGGCCTCCACGCGATTCCCCCAGCAGCCTCCAGGGCTGGGCACCTGTGGGCCTGTCTGGGCCACTCTTCCCCAGACATAGACACAGCTCACTCTGCCTCCTGAGGTCTGCACTCAACTCTTCCCACCCTCCCTGACCTCGGTACATCTCTCTTCCCGACTCTATTGATCTTCATTGGAAGATTCTCATTGGCACGCTCCATATTTTAATTATCTGTTTTAATTATTAGTTTATTGGCTATATACCCTCCCCATACAGAAGCAACATGAAGACAAAGATGATTGTCTGTCTGTCCCTAGCTATATTCCCAGTTCCTAGAACATTGGCCAGCACATGGTGGATTCTCAATAAATTCTTTGTTGAATGAATGAATGAAGCACCCAAGTAAAAATGACAGTGATGACAGAAGATGGATATAGTCTGGCCCCAGGAAGTTCCCTAATAGTCCACCTAAGTGAATTCTATCACTTGTGACTCTACAAAGGACCCAATGAATACTCTTTTACATAAAGACACTCAGCTCTAACACTCAAGAAGAATATAATAAAAACTCAGTGAGTCATAATGTTTAGGGAATGACTGTTAATGTTCAATTTCATTTTCTCGTTAACAAAGGTTGAGGAGAAACTGTTGTGCATGTTTGTCCTTAGTGTTGAAGATCTTCCCAAGATGCTCTGGTCTATGCCCCACCTCTAGCAGTAGACCTACGTGGAAACATGAACTCCTCCTGAGGATTCAGGATCCTGCAATGCCCTGCCACCATCTTGCTGAAGGTGGACATCCATTATTCAGGGATGTCATGGAAAGATGCTGGGAATCCATGCTGTCCATCAAGTCTGGTTTCCCCAGGCCCCACATGCTTATAGGAGTCAGCTAAGAAACTGATGCCTACTTTTGTGTTCTCTTATTAATTCAAGAATAAATGACAAAACATAATTAATWAACAAATATAGTTGAAATAAGTTGTTTATATCATCCTAAAGACCCATCCCACCAAGAGGACTAAAGACATGTTGTTTCTTCTTAGAGTCAGTTAGACTCAAAAGTATGTGCCCATTGTGTTTTTGTTTGTATTTTGTTTGCTTAGGGTTTTTTTTTTTTTTTTTTAAAAAAAAAAAGATCATTCGTTTTTGGGCGGGGTGGGGGGGGGTACGTACTGGAGATTGAATTTAGGGACACTCAACCACTGAGCCACATCCCCAGCCTTATTTTGTATTTTATTTAGAGACAAGGTCTCACTGAGTTGCCTAGTGCCTGGCTTTTGCTGAGGCTGACTTTGAACTCATGATCCTCCTGCCTCAGTCTCCTGAGCCCCTGGGATTACAGGTGTGCACCACTGCACCTGGCTTAACCATTCTTAAACCAAATAGTCTTGCTTCAATATGAGGAGATTTGTAGTTTCTAAATTGCACTCCTTCCCATCCATGTAATCACAAATGGATTAAAATCCAGTTGCAGGTACTATTTTACATTTCTTTTTCCTAAATGATTTATATTTTTAAATGCTTTGGGAAAGAGAATGGAGACGTAATCAGACTGAACCCAGTAGAGAAGTAGCTTTTTGAACTTTAAAAAAGGGGGTGTTTTGATTTTTTTATAGTGGATGATGGCTTTTTCTGGAAAGCAAAGTAAAAAAGAGTTTTGACTAATTAAAGGTTAATTATTGAGCTGAAAATTTTGGCTGACAGAAAGTTTGCATCGAAGGGATAAGAACATATGGAATACTAAAGCCACAGAAAGTGCGTTCAGCGATCGTTCCAAGAATGCAATTTAGAGCTCCAAAAGCAGAATTATTTAGAGGGTCATCCACCCCACTCACACTAAGTGCTTAACATCTCCCTCCCTACTTCATTTTGTCTACAAATTCATGGCACTTACTTCATTTCTGAAACTATTTAACAGCTCTCTGTCCCTTGGGCTTTACAGGACTGCTGAAAACCAATGTCCTAGATTTTAGTTACAGATTGGCGTGGCTTCTCAATGCTCTGAAACCTGATCTGTGTTTCCTTACATGTGAATGTGCATCTGAAGGTGCTGGGGGTGGGGGATATCAGATCTCTAATTTAAACAGGGCAATTTCAAGCCACATTGTCCTGGGCACAGAAGTGAACTTCAGAGCTGGTGTCTTCTCTTCATTAGAGGTTTAATAAAAACGGAAGGAGAGGGACCAGCTCATTCATTAAACACTGTACTAAATGCATTAATTTCTAAATACATCTGCAGCCTAGAGGAGCAACTTTAAAGTCACCAGATTTGCCTGGAAGTAGAGGACACACTAAAAAATCCAACTCCATAAGAAATCCATTGCTCAACCAACGAATCACCAAATGTTTCCTACAGGATTTGCCCTGAACTGGACTCTGAGGGCTTGTGGAAGATGTGCAAGGACTTGTCCTCAGGGGGCTTCCTCCCTTGCTGGGGAGCCAGGACCAGCATCGTGAAACCTCAGCCAGGGTGGCCGGTGTAGAGCATAACAGTGTGTGTGTGTGTGTGTGTGTGTGTGTGTGTGTAGCCAGCAGAAGGGGGGACACGGAAGATCAGGAAACGCTTCACGGGGGAGAAAGAACTTGATTTAGACTTTGAAGGAGAAGACGTTTCTAGGAAATTGAGGACAGAAGAAGTAGCATCATAGGCACAGGGAAGGGCGTGAGGGAAAGCCCTGTCATAAGATGAGTGGGGCGTGCGGGGGCACACGGAGAGCCTCGTGTTCTCAGGATGTCCAGGGCACTGAGGCTGGAGAGCTAGAGGGGGGCCTGGGGATTTCCCCCTCCCAGCTGAGATGAGCCTGCTTCCCCTCCAATGCATCTGGAATACTCTGGACCCACGTGGAGGATTCCCTCATTCTTTCTGAATTTGCGCTCTCTGGATGTCACACAGAGAAGGTGGTATGTCTTGTAAGCATGCACATAGGATAACACGTGAAACAATTCCTAGCAGTCCGTGGAGAAATCGAGACTTAATGAGTGGAAGGAGGGAACCATGTTTATTGACGATGGTGTTGAGGTCAACGGTACCTCGACCGTTCCCTATGAGGAATGAGCTGGGTGTCACCAGCGTCATTACCTGCGGCAACCCTACGAAGTCGGCACGATCATCCTCTTATTAAGAATAAGGAACTGGGACTCRGAGAAGTTAAGTAATATGAATCAGTGATGGCCTTGAGATTTGAGCCCAAGTCTATGGAACGCCAAGCCCATAATCTTAGCCTCTACAAGACTGTGGGGATCTGGAGTCTAGACTGAATCGGAAACAAGTCAAGGCTTTTATAGGGAAAAAAGGAAACCTGGAGGCAGAATGTCAAAGAGAACCTGCCGCTTTCCAGCATGGCCGGGTAGATCCAGGTGTCCTGTCTCTCACCATGGCACCCCACCTCCCTGCTCCAGAAAGCCCCTGCAGAGCTCTGCCGGGTAGCCCTCCAAACACAGGGCTCCCTGTGCCCAAGACAGACCCCCCAGCCCCGCCGGCCAGCATCGGGGCTTGATGTGATGGCTGTCTCGAAGATCATTACCTGTCAGAGTCACACCCAAAGGTACTGCCCTCCCTGCCCAATGTCCACACCTAAAGCCCTTCAGATTTCCCAGTGCTGATGAGACCTGTCATCTTCCTCAGACACAAAATATCAAGCGTGCCAACGGAACCTGGCTCCTGCCTAATAAATCACCCTCACCAAGACAAGGACTATTCTTGCATTTTCATAAACACAGCCACTACTTTTTTCTAGTTTTATAAATTTGCTCAATGTGTGTACTTGCTTCATTTTGATATGCCAATTCAAATCAATTTAATATTTTTTTTTTGTCTCCAGAAAGCTATTAAGGAATCCGAGAGCTTAGCTGAACCCGCAGATTAATCCAACATAAAAGGAAAAGTGATTTGCATTCAAATGAGAGAACGGTGAAGATGTCTCTGTTCTGCTTGGTCCTAATTCTGATCACATATTTWAAAAAAWTTTTTTTTAGTTATAGGTGGACACAATACCTTTATTTTATTTGTATGTGGTGCTGAGGATGGAACCCAGCRCCTCACGCATGCTAGGCGAATGCTCTACCTCTGAGCCACAACTCCAGCGCCCTGATCCCGTCTCTGACATTCTGTAAGGAGTTATTTATGCCTCAGTTCTCAAATCTGTACAAGGGGGACTCACAGATTATCACAGAAGAGAGAGGAGAAGGCTCATAGGCCCCCAGCCCTGTACTGACACCAAGTAGGTGCAGGACGCATGTTAGCCCCCTTGCCGTTTCCTCCATCCAGCCGCAAGGCCCCTCACAGCTCAGGGCTCCTCACTTCACGTGACCCCCAACTGCGACGTAGGGGGATGGAGAAGGTAATTAAGCCAAGTGTTGGTAACCACAAAGAGCAAGGTCTGCTCCACAGCAGAAAACCTGGGCAGCCGGGAGGTGAGTCTCCTTAGGGGGACGTTGCAGTATGGAATTATGGAGGCAGAGACATACGCCAGGGGCCAGTTCTACTCCATACATTAAAGAACAGGTGACATTTGCTACAGGACTTACAGGTGAGTCAGATCCCGGAGGCCGCGGAAGGCATTTCTTGAAATGGTTTCTATTTTGTTCCCTTCGATGAACCTAGGGGAGGAAAGTCGCATAATTCAACTGAATTTCCTCTTCTGAAAATGTCTAAAAAAGTGATCCTGGTATGATTTGGGAGTGAAATCTAGAAGCAAGACTAAGTTAGCTGCAGCAAAGTCCATGTGGAAGCAAGGCACACGAGCGTGTCTGCACTCCCTCCTTCCGGACAGCACGGAAGTCTTCAAACTCAGAGTTGGGGTGGGGTAGGGAGTGCATGGGACAAAGGCAAGAAATGCTCATCTCTGCAAGACCGGAGAGCTTCCAGACATGCCCCCAGCCAGCTCAGCTCTGCTTGCATTTCACAGTGCCTGGCTACTGCTCTTCTGATAATATCACAGTCCCTTGAGGAGACTCCAGTGTTCTACATGGTGCTATTAAAGTTTTTGAGGAGGGAAAGTTCCATTAAGGTTGTTTCCCAGCAACTGTGAGCTCCTCGGGTCCCACCCTCCAAGCAAATGGGTGACGAGGCAGGGATCCTTTCCAGATCTGTGCCACGAGCAATAGGGAGTATGCTGAAGTGGAACCAGGGCTGGCTTTCTCTATCTGTGCTAAAACGGTGCAGGGCTTGCTCCTAGAATCTTGCCACCATCACACTGGTGGTGCTTTAAACTCTATGGGGAAGACAGGGAGTGAATGTACTGTGAATGTACTCCCTCGGGCCACAGAGAACTAAGTTTTAGTTTATGGCTTTGCATTACGTCAACTGTCAGGGGGCCTTTGATGAGACGGTCCAAGAAAGAGGCTTTGCTAGATCTGTGAACAGGTTCTTGATCCTCACACTGAGAACTTTCTGATGCCTTAAAAAAATAAAAAATAAAAAAATAAAGAATCTGGGGTCTCTCTAGTAATAGACTACAGCATAAACTGACAAGCTCACTTCCTCCCCAGTGACCTGGCCACTGAGATGAACTGCCTGCTGGGAAAACTCACAGCTTCCCCTTTGTACCTCCCTCGCCAAGTGTGTGCCTTCAGAGAGGCTGTCTGGAGCTAGCACTGGGATTGGCTGGAATTAGCAACGGGGTCCTGCCGTTCTTTCCATATCACGTACAAGCCAGAGTACCACATGATCACAGTATCCAAATCACCTCGACTCTGGGGGAAGAATTCCTCATTCCCCAAGACCCCAGGTCAACAGAAAGTTTCCCTATACCCAGATGTGTCTAGAATTCCAACATCTACCTGTTGACATCAAATAAGAAAGCCTTAAAAACCCCTCTGAATGCTAAGTGAGGAAATCCTATCTGATGGCAGGATTAGCTTTATGACAGATTTACGGAACACCAGAGTGAAAGAATTTAGGGGAAAAAGACATGGTGTCCTGGTGCAGAAACCAGAACAAGGCAAAGCTTGTTGCTAGGAAAAATAAAAATAAGAACTACACATCTGGAGAGGGGGAAATTACCTTTTTTTCTTATAGAGGGGAAAAGAAAATACAACTCAGCAGAATCCACAGGAAATACTGTGGAATACGGGACGTGGAAGAGCTGGATAAAGAACAGAGTTGTACCCCCAAATAGGGAAACTTTGTCTAAAAATAAGTAACCCTCAGAACCCTTCAGCCCTATTTCTAACTGATCAGCAAATCCATGCCTGGTTATGAGAGGTAAAAATATCCAACGCAGTTTCCAATTTTGCTTACTCCACCACAAATTAAATGTCACCAGAGAATGAATGAATGTCTTTCCCTCTTTGTTTGCTTCTCCACTCTTCGTCTCCAGCCTCCTCCTGCCCCAGTGTGTTTAGAAGCAAGGAAACTCTCAAAAGTCTGTGCAGAATAGAAAGCAGGGTTTGCTTCACTCGCAGACCCACCAGAGATGCTGTCCTAGCTTAGGACACAATCCAGCAAGCCACCAAGAGACAGAGCACTCTGGGAGCAGACAAATCACCACACTTACAGGTATTCCAAATGGAAAAGTCCAGCAAATGCATCGTCACGGATCACGGTGAATGAGTTAGAATTCAGCAGTCTGAAAATAAGACAGATATCAAGGCAGAGACGCAATGCCTGAGCCACATGATACAGCCCTTTCTGTGTCTTTTGCTGTATTCTGATTTGTAGGCAAACCTGGGCTGTTCTCAGCCCAAGAGCAGCCCATTAGGTCCCCAGCCTCATTTCCACACTACTGATACGGGCGATAGGAAGTGGTTTCCTTTTGGACAGATTATCTGGTCACTTCCAATACTCTACACCTCTCACTCCTAGGTTTCTCAGTAAATATGAGCTGATAATTCTAAGGTGAGGCACAGCTGAACAGCTGGGGAATGCTTTATAATACACAAGAAACCATGGAATCATAGACCTAGAAGGATCTCATCCAACTTTATTTTTAGGGAAATCCAAACCCAAAGAAGTTTAGTGACTTAACCAAAGTCACACAGTTGGTGGTGGGGGGAAGTCCCTTTTACTACATTATACATTCCCATGAAAAATGTCAGAAAAGTTTAAGAAGTCTTCAGAAGACTCTTCATCATTATATAGTTTTCTATTTGGTAAAAGTCTATATAGTCTATAGTAATCACTTAGAATACCTAAATTTATATTTATACTCCTACCATGGTAGAGAAAGTTCATTCTAATATCATTACAATTCTAAGAGAATTCAGCTTTAAAGCATAATGTTGTAAGTAGACACATAACACTTCAAGAAAAAGTATCCACAGCCGTTTATTTACCAGGAGGAATGATCTACACTTCTGTATATCTTTCTGTAGCTCATTGCTTGCTTTAGTTTACAATCTCATCTCAAATTTAAGAAACTAATATGATAAAGAGAATGAGCTGTGTACTTGACTTTTTCTGGCAATGATCTGCTTTGGAAAACTGCTTTTTGGACACTTATCTTCACTAACAAACATTAGCTGACCTGGGTTATGGGTACTGCACATCGCTTATCACAGTGACCTGGGCATTGCTCACCGAGAAGTGCTGGGACGAAGAGTGAGGTCTTTGAGTTTTGGGTTAGAATCTGTGATTTTTTTTTTTTTTTGGCAAGTTACTTAATTCTCTGACCTCAGCTTCCTCATCTGTCAAATGGGAAAATCAAAATACCCTCTTCAGAGAGATGCTATGTTCATGAGATATAATGAAGCACTTAAATGCATACTATGGTGCTTGCCTGTTTAATGGATAAACTAGAAATACTCCTATTTCCAGGGTAATATTAAGATCTTAAAAAGTAAGTTTCTTTTAAAGTGAGATGTTTGGGGAACACTTCATTCTGTTCATGATTGATGTAATCACCTGCCCAGTTGCTGAATCTGGAAGTCGAATCTACAACAAAGTCCTGGAAGACAGCATGGACCAAAGTCGGGAGAGGACCTGGAGCAAGGGGCCTTGATACTTTGTTTAAGACACCCCRGGGCCAGTGCACCCCAAGAGGCAGCCACCATTCATTCAGGGAGCTAGGAGATTTCAGGAAGGACTGACACCAAAGAGGCAGAGACCACCCTTCAAGGACCACACTTCAGGGAACCCCATTTTGCAAAGAGAACTTTCCATACTTACAGCAACTGCAGGGAAGGCAGATGGGAAAACATTCGGTCCTTGATTTCTGAAAAAGTTCCATTTACTAGGCTCCTACAGGCAAAAAAAGAACAAAAGAAGGCCTGGGTTTCTTTCAGGAAGTGCAGGCGGGGTGGGCAATCCGCCTGACCCTCCACCTGCACTTCAAACTCTTCCTCTCAATGAGGCTTACCACACGAGGCCATCAGCTTCCCCGGGGTAGGAATGGAAGAGTGGGGCCTCTTGCCAATGCATTTGATCAATATGAAAACTAGTCTGGATACTAGACACCTGCACCATCGGTCTGGCTTCCTTTAGAGACATTAGCTCAGCCAGCTCCAATCAATCCCCGGGCTTCCTTTGCTTAACTACAGGAGGCCCCGGCTGCAAATGGATAATTACTTTACCTCTGCCCAAGATTCTGTGTGTGCAGACACAAAGTTAATGTTGGCCCACGAAACTCTGGGGTAGAATTAAGCATTCCCCTTGGGAGTGTGTCTCTGAAAGACACTCAGAGCACTTCTGATTAAATGCACCGTGAAAGCCTTGAGGGAAAACTCAAAAGACACCTGAACTTGACTGTGCGGGGGAGGCAATGCCATCTGCCAGATGAAACGGTCAACTCGGGGGCAAGAAGCTTGGCTCAAGTTCTKCCCCCAGGTTCCCTACCCATCCTGGCCACAGCAGGACCTCAATACTTTATTTCCGTTAACATGCAGATCAATTAAGCAGCTGCTGGTTTAAAGGATTTAACAAGGGGAATTCTAATTTCTGGAATCCTCCATGTCACCTGACTTGGCAACAGTAAGAATCAAACAAGCCTTCTGTTCTTCCAGCTACACTCTCCTGACTTCCTATAAATGCAAACAGGATGCCCCTGCTCCTAGGTCCAGGCCAGGGTCTGGCCTTGGACAAAGGCAGGGGAATGTTGTACGTGAGCAAGCACAGTAACGTCACTCTCAGGACTCCCTCTTCTACAACCCAGGGGGCACCCCAGCACCTGGGCCTGCAGTAGATATGGCCCAACAGCCCTTCCACAGCCATTAGGACAGCTAGTCATTGGACCTGAGCAGCTGTATGACCCAAGTTGAAAGCCTCTCTTAGCAGGGGAACAAGCAGTGCAAAGCCCTTCCTAGTCATTCACTCCAGAGCTGGAAAAGCAGGCAACACAATGTGAGGGGATGAAGGGCAAGAAGACCCTTGGACTTCAAACAAGAACTGGGCTGACTTCCTGCCCTTGACACTGAGCTGGACAACCCACATCCTGTGGCTCCACCAAGATCTCCGAGCCCCCTCTTCAGGCCACGTGGGGTGGCCTCCACTTCCAGAGGCTGCATGCCTTCCCAGGCTCTTCTCAACCTGCAGTGTGGAGGGAGGAGGAGGCCACAGTGCCAACCTCAGCCCCACTGTGAGGTGGGGCAGCGAGGCTCACCGAGTCTTAGTTTGCACCCCATCCAGTCGGGTTCTGCTGCTCCTCTGGCAACCACACACCCACCACCCCACAAGCACAAACACAGCCTGTCAAAGTTTAACGCTGCAACCCAGAATCACAAGTGGACGCCAAACGCCGACCTCAGGCTCCACTCCACAGACCCTACCTCTCCATGGGCCCCAATCCTTCACTGTCACCAGATCCCCCTGGTGGGACTAATGCAGGTGGACCTCGGACCACACTTTGAGAAATACTGTCACGGGGACCTGACCGGGTTTCCAGACTCTAGAGCTCAGGGTCCCTCCATCCTCCTGGGAACCGAGACTCCACCCACGTCCCTAGAGCGCCCGCACCCAAATGCCAAAACAGGGACTGGTGAGAGGGGTCCGGAGGGCGCGCTGCCCCAGCGCCAGAGGCAACTCCCTGGCGGCGGCGGGCAGAGGGTGGGGCGGGGTGGGGGCTGGAGGGGTCCCACTCACAGGGAGCTGATGTCGCCCGGCACGATCCTGGGCACCCAGGAAGAGCCCACGCAGATGATGGACTCCTTGGTACAGCTGCAAGTGGCGGGGCAGCGCGCCAGCCGCCTCACCTGCGCGCTCCGCGGGATCAGGCACGCGGCGCCCAGCAGCAGCAGCAGCAGCAGCCCCAGCGCCCCGCCGCCGCCTCTCCGCAGCGCCATGCCGGGTCCCCGGTCCCCGGCCCGGCCCCGACCCCCGCCGCCGCGCCGCGCGCTCGGACCCGGCGCCGCTGCAGACCCGGGCGCCGCTCGCTGCTCGGCCGCCGCCGCTGCTGGCGAGGACGCGGGCGCCGCGGGTGTGGGAGGCCGAGCCGCAGCCGAGCAGCATGCTGGCCGCCACCCCCACTCGGCGCCCCCACCCGAGCCCGGGCTGCTGGGCGGCCGCCGCCGCTGCGCCCGCCGCACTCGCGCCCGCCTGACATCAGCACTCGCGCCCGCAGCCCCGCCGGCCAATGAGTAGCGCACGGCCAGGCCCGCCCCGCGGGGGAGGGGGCCGCCGCGCCCCGGAGGGCCACAGGGAAAAGTTGGGGGACCTCCGGGGAGGGGCCAGCCCGGACCGAGACCCCTTGGGAGTCTGGTCCAACCGCAGAGGATCAGATGCCCGCAGTCCCTCCACGGGCTGCAAAGAAGGTGGGGGAGATCTGAGTCCTTAAAGCCTGGCCACAATGTGAGCCCCAAAAAGTAGGGACAGGGAGAACTGGCGTGTTGAGTGGGGAGGGGACTCTGCCCTGGGAGCTTTGAAGAGTCCTGACTTTTGAGCAGCCTTTAGTGATTTTGAAGTGAGCCGTGGGGCTCAGCGAGGGTGGCTTTGCTTGTCTTCTGAGAGGGCACTGGGTTCTGGCTCCACGGCATCTGGTTACTGGAACCAGGCGCTCGCCCAAGCTGAAGGCTTGTGGAAAGGGGAAGCCGCCACCGCTGTATGCACCTCTGTCACTCTGGGCCCTGCCTGAGCTTGACAAAAAGCCTGCAAAAGTTTTCCCTCACTCAACAAGGTAGCTTGCTTACCCAGCAGCCCACCACCCCATTAAACAGGGGATGCAAACTGATGGGAACCCAGGACGTGATGCGTCTAGGAACTACCACTTAATCTTTGCTGATGGTTTGAGGCAGATTGATTTGCTGATAAGGAAAGAGCCAGAAGGCATCAGGACAGGCCTGTGGTCTAAGTGATTTGGCCTGGGATAGGGGATTGGTTACCTGGCCCCACTGAGTCCCTTTGGCACTCCTTGAGTTTGTCTTGTGATCTTGAGTTAGCCCGCAGTTGGGGAAATCAAGGAAAACCACAAAGCAGAACCCAAACAGTGGCCAGTAGCCCACACTGCTGAATGGGGGGGGGGGGTCGAGAGCCCCATCCTGAGGCTACAGACCAAGGAAACCACTTCTGATATGGAGCAATATCCAGAAAAGCCCAGCACCAAAGTTTAGGGCTATCACTTCTTCACAATTATTTATAGCACCATCCCCCAGGAAAATACCACATCAGCTCCTGTGAGAGGGGACAGAGGAGCAGGCCCTATCCTCAGGGAGCCTGAGTCTAGCTCAGCAGGTAGCCCTAAAGGAGTAACTGCACAGGGCTACATGGAGGTCACAGACCTTCCAGAAGAGGTTCAGAAATGTAAGGTGAACTCACTGTAGGAAACTTCATGGAGGGAGCTGGACGTTTATTGCAGCCACCATTTACCCGACACCTCGCATCCATGCAAACCAAGCAACATTTATCATTTATTCTCACATCTGCCCTGGGAAGTGAGTCTTCCCATTTTATGGATAGGAAAATTGAGCGCCAAGATTTTTTTTTTCTTGCCCGAGGTCACTCAGGACCCAGCCAGAAGGATTATACTCCAAAATTGGCTGCTGGGTCTAGGGACAGCAACAGATACAGGGACCCAACATCATGCATGTGTCTTTCTAAAGGAGGGGCTGCTGCTTTACAGAGTGGTAGAGATGAGGCTTCACAAATGGAGCACTTCCTGCCAACCCAGGACAAGAAGATCTGCATTGAAGCCTGCTGGAGGTCCGGGGAGGTAAGTGGGCTCTGCCCCAGAACCATACAGGCCTAGGTTTGGCACCCAGCCTGCCRTGTACTACTGTGTAATGCTGAGAAAGCTAGGCCCTCTCTGTCCTCTGTTTCCTCACCTGGAAAAAGGGAGCTTTCCTGGCTCCTGAGCCTGCATTTTAATCAAGGTCTGGGTCACAGTCTAGCACCCTGGTTTTCCATTGAGCATGATACAGGTGATACTTGGCCATGTCTGGATGTATTTGTGATCGTCACCGAGGGGTGGTAGAAGCCAGGGATGCAGCTGAACATCCTAGAGCACACAGCAAAGAATGATCTGGCCCACAATGTCACTAGCATGTGGCCTAGTGACCTAAACAGATCCTTGGAGAACTCTAGAGGCACAGATTCCAGGCCAGGCTCCACTTCTCACAAGCAAACCCTCCTTCATGTCATTCCCACCTCCTGCTGCTCTTCCCTCACCTGTTTCATGGGGATAAAAAGACTTCTCTCTCTTCTCTAAATAAATGTGACTCGTCATCATTATTACTGTCCTTACTCTGGGCAACTCAGGCCAGCTCTGGCTCATCCTAGAACACAGTGTGGAGAAACGCCTGGAGTAGGGAGCTGGCAGAGCTGGTATTTGTTTCGGCTCTGCTAAAGACACTCAGTAAGCGAGTGCTTGTAAATTATAAGGCGCAGTTTATAAATTAAGATATAAAAATGGAAATGCAGATGACTTTGGTTTGGTTCCAAGATCTTCAGCAGTTAAAAAAAAAACAAAACTTAATAGACAATCAGAGAGACACAATCTGTTTCCAGGAAATAGCAAGTTTTTTGAAGATGTAGAAATCCTCATTTAGATGTACACTTACTCAGGCGGAGCCCCGTGACATGAATGCACGTTGCTACCTTGAATATGGATGAAATGGTAGCTCGAAATAGCATCCAATCATGCACACTCACATTCCGCTGCTGGTCTGTTCAGGGGTCAGTATAGACTGAGAAGTTGCTAGGTGCTTGCTGGGCGTCCATATGAAGCAATGGCAAAGACAGACATGGTCCCCACCTTCATGGGAGACACATGTGATGACAAATGATGGTAGGACCCATGAAGGAAGAGAAAAGGGGAGACCCTAGTTGAGTGGAGGGAAGGGGGGGGCTGGAAGCCTAACTGAGGACTTCACTGAGCATGAGGAGGAGAAGGAGCCAGGGGAGAGGCAGAGGCTGAGGAAGGGGCAGTGTCCTCAGAAAGCAGAGCATGTGCAAAGGCCCAGGACCAGGAAGAGATGCATGCTTGGAGGGATTCAAATGAAGGCCAGGGTGGCCAGTGCACAAAGAAGGAGGGAGAGGGAGAAGGTGAGATGAGATCTGAAAGGTAGGGAGGAACTAAATCACGCAGGACTTGTAGGCCCAGCAAGGAGCCTGTGTGTCGTTCTAAATGCCATAGGGAGTCCACCCCTCCCATCAAACAGGCATGATGTCACGTGTGCTTCAACGTGGTTATTCCAGATGATCAGGTACAGAATGGGAGGAACTAGTCCTGGAGAGAGAGGGTGCAGCTGGGGCACAGTGAGCAGCAGAGGAGATGCAGAGTGGTGTGCGCTCAAGGTGCAGCTTGGAGGGAAGATCAGCAGGACTCGCCTTTGGGCTGAATTTAGGGGGAAAGATGAGTGAGATGTCCATGGGTGTGGGCCAGAGCCAGCGGGTGGCTGGAGGAGCCATCTCTTAAGACCAGGAAGCTTAGAAGAGCAGAGGGTTGGGGGAGAGCGGTATTGGGAATGTGGTGTCCGGAGGTTGAGTTGAGGTGACCTCGAGGCACCCACAGGCCCAGGTGGAGCTCAGGGGTGGAAAGAGGAGCTGGCATAATGGGAATGTTCACTCCAGGGGAAGCTGTGGTCCTTCCTCGGGAAGCCCTGGCTGTCATGTTGGCTGATGCAATGAAGAAGTGACATTTGAGAAATCCCAGACATGAGGGATAAGATCCAGCCCAGGTACAGGCAGCGAGGAACGGCAGAAATTTTACAGAAGGCGGTGAATCTAAGAATACTGCAGTTTGGGAAATCTATTTTTAGATCACAGATCATCTTCAAATCCTCAACCAAACTATGAATCTTATGAGAATCTTCGAGACTCCATCAGGCTGTTAATCCCCCTCCCCTACTTTCCAACCAAATCCCACCTCCACCCCRGCCTGGTCCCCTCACCAGGACCGGAAGCTTCAGCTTCAGAGGGCCTCTGCTACCGCCCAGTGCCTCTGGCTTCAATGCTTACTGTAACAACCGAATAAAAATTATTCATCCAAACCTCAAAGGTATTTCCTGGTTTGAATGAATACAGACGAGATTCCCTGGGGTTAAAAAAAAAATTTTAAAAGCCTCCCCCACACCCAGAGTTTGCCAATCCCTCTCTGACCACATCACCCTGATAGGCCACTCTGGGGCTGGCTGCTGGTCAAATGTGGATGCGGTTCCTGGCTCCCCGTCATTTCCTCTCCAGAACTTGGTGGTGTCAGAGGCTGGAGCTCGTTTCGAAGCTGCCCCTGATGGGCCTCCTGGATTCAGTTGTGTTCCTGAAGGGCTGCCAGTATGCGTTCTTCCTGAGTTTCCTAAGTCAACTAAAAGACCCTCGGGACCCTGGTCACAGTTCCAGTGACCTTTGTCACCTCCTCCACCAGCATAAGGGACTCCTGTGGGTTTCTGTTAGCTCATGCCAGCTGCACCTTCTCATGGAGACAGGACGCCATCTTGCCTGGGAAGGAATCAAGCCTCCTCCGTGTCCAGTCCCAGGGCCTCACTTGACCAACACCTSCATCTTCCACTGTACATCTCAGCTAGACTACAGCATTCCAGAACATTCCAATCCCCCAGCCACAGTGACTGGTTTAGATATGAATGCACCACCCAACTGGGCCAACCAGGGCTAGCAAAATCCCTTAACTGGGATTTTTCTTGAAATGTTGGGAACAGAGTCTCTCTGTGCCACTGACCTGGGAGCTGTGTGACGTGAGCCTGCGAATCCACATATCCAGAGAGAGGCCCCACCTGAGAGGGATCTCAGGGGTGTTGCTCGAGTCTCAAATCAAGCCCACCCTTCAACTCTTCAGTTATGTGAGGTAACACGTGCTCCCTGATGCTTAGCTTCTCTGAATCTGGGTTTTGACCCATTGCACCCAAACAAATCCTAACTAATCCACTGAGTTATCACCAAGAACAGGGGCCATGCGCAGTGACTGAGATAAGCAACTACCACAACTGTCTCGCCACGTGCTCCGCCCCAATTTTACCATGTCCTTTCCTTTCCCCTTGCTCAAGAAATTTTGAAATCCTGCCTCCCCTGCGCATGCACACTTTTTTGTTTTGTTTTGTTTTTATTCTCTTGAATAATAGCATCAGTCTATTTTATTAATTCACTCAAGGAACCAAGTCAGGMCCCTGTTGATTTTCTTCCTTCTACCTTAGTTCTCTACATTTCGTTTCTATCTTTGTTAATTTTCTCTGTGCTGAGTTCGCTACGCTGTTACCTTCCCATCTGTTTTTTCCTACTTCATCTGAAATCCAATACTTAGGTCGTCAATCAGTTAGAGTCACTTAACCACACTAAGTCACCGCATTTCACAGGTCACTTGTTTTGCACTTTATTTATGTTTACAAGACCGGAGGCCTCAGCTATGTTCCTAGTTCTAAGAGAAGGTGCCAGCCTTTCAGTTGGGTTGTGCGAGGATAGATCACAGGCAGGTGGAGGGTCTGTGAGCAAAGATCTCCTAAAACAAACAGGGTGCCCTTTATAACAAATTTCCATGGACTGGAGTTTACTAGTCAACATGATAACTGTTCGGGAAATCTCTTTGTTCTTCTTAGTGAAGAGTCTTAGCAGAAATTCTCTTTCAGAAGTAGGAGTTAAGAAAAAAGTAGAGATTTAACTTAAATGTATAATAATAGATCTGTAAATATCCTCTAAGCTCCTCTCTTATCCATAAACCATGGTTAATCCAGTGCTTTGCACTCTGAATCTTGAATCTGAAGATTCTTACTATTAAAGGCTGTCTGACCTTTGGTCCCCACTTAACTTTAATCAAGGCTAAATCAAATATATTTGGGACTTATAATTTTTCTGTCCTACCACATCTGAGTTATTCTGTGATCAGATGTCCTCTGTTCGACCTGCCCCAGCCCGCATCAAAACGTGTTCCTTGGGCAGTATTGGCAATGCCTGCGCTGCATATTTATACAGCTCTCCGTCTCTGGCACGTTACTGATTTGACATGGCTCTGAGATTTAACTAAACATCATGGGGGTGATGCCACGCAGAGTTCCTGAAATCAGAAAGTGGACCATGGTTTCCTCCGCTCCCCCGACCCACCCCTAGGTCTCTCCTCTTTGCTCTGCCTCTGTCTTAGAGGAGAGGCTGCTCAGAAGAAAAGCAAGGAGAGCTATCTTCCGAGCCTCCCCAGGCCTCCCTCTCCCGAGCTCTTCAGAATCTGGTACCAGAAGTCGGCACAGCAGGGAGCGAGGAGTGTGCCCTCAGAGTCCTTCATTTGAACCCCCCAGTCACCACTCATCTTTCTGGCCTCGATTYCCTGTTCTGCCAAGGGAAGGAGACAGTGCACATCACCCCGGATTGCTGGGAACTGAAATCAGTTCAAGAATGTGGAAAGTGTTCATAAGCCGTATGAGTTAGTCCATTGTGTGTTCAGCTAGTTGGTCTCTACCTATTGACTGAGAGCCAGAAATCACTATGAATATGGGTTTTGAAATGGATAGATGGAGGTGGATTAGGAATAGGTTATAGATATGGTTGCTATTAGCCATGGATAACTCTCCTCAAAGAGCTTGAAATACATACAAGGAAGTAAGGCCCTTCTCTGTCAGAGGAGTCTGTCAGTACCTCAAAAGGGTCTTATTTCTTCCCCAAAACTTCTTTCAACAGCCCCAGGAGACACAATCTGTGCATTTCTCTGAAAGCTGAGAAGCTTAGTTGAATCGTTCAACAAATCCTTCCCGAGGCTCCCGTGGACCAGCCCTTGTGTTAGACCCTGGCATCCGGTGGTGGGCAGACGTCTCCTGCTGCCTCCAGCCTGCCCTGCACATGGAGGAAATCCAGGTGGACACCTTGCTCTTGGATTGGCAGCCCCCAGGCAACTGAGCAGTGCCCCAAGGCCAGCCAGGGGACAAGAGAGTGGAAACTTTCACATCCTGCCCTTCCCCCAGGGCAAGACCAGGCCTGTCCCTGCACCCAGATAAGTTCCCATCCCTAAAGGAACCTCCTGACTCCTTGTTCTTGATCTTCACGTTGACATTGGAGCTCAGAATCTATGTGGCTCCCGAGAACTGCTCATTTGGCAGGAGAGTGGGTGATCCATCACTTAAGGAAGGGCAAGGGGTCATGTCCATTGGCCCAAGTGCTGACACACAGGAACATTGGCTTTAAGGAGAGGACGGTTGTAAATCCCACGTCTGTCCCCAGCAGGCCATCTTAGCTCATGTCGGACCTAGGTTTGCCCTCTGTTATATATATAGTTCTGGGAGTTTCTGTGTCAAGCTCTGAGCACTGGTAAGATACTGACCTTCACTGGAACAAGAGAAGTAGCACTTGGAGGCTCAGCGAGGCATCTGACGTTCACGCCACAGCTGCGTGGTTTACCAGGCCTTCTCACCCCGTCACCTCTACCTCGACTCCGGCTCACAGCTGCCCTGGAGCAGGCGTTTTCAAAGGAGGAAACCGAGGTTTGGAGGTCAAGTGGCCTGTCCATGATCAGGAAGCTAATGTCCACGTGTCAAAGACTGCTCCACCCACAGTCCTGCTGGAGGCAATCAGGACGAGTGGGGAAATGGTATCAATGCCTTCCACAAGGTTCTAGAAGGCCAAAGAACCTACCATGCCTTCCTCCATCTTAACCCAAGGCTTTCGAAGGCGTCTCTTTGCTGTTAGAGCAACATTAATATGACTGTTCTTTCAGCCCTTGGAGAAGACGCCTTTGACAGGTCCCCACTGAGGCAAAGGAGACCTGGCTGGACCCAAGAGTCCCCAGGAACCAAGAGAGAGTTGCTGAGGGTTGAGGGGACCGAGAGGAGACGGCAGAGTCACCCTGGGAGAGCAGAGAGCACTCCTGAATCCTCTGGGCCAGGAAAGGGCCCGCGGGGAGCGCCGGCCCCCACCCACCCCAGCCTCCCCTCTAGCCAGAGCTGCCGCAGTCCCCTGGGGGCCCATCCAAGACAGCACTATTTATCTTTATTTTTTATCCTCCAAGAGGAATAATAGGATTCATCAATAATGTCTTTGGCTTTAGACTCATTTGGGAAATCAGGAAATTTGCCATGAGAATAGCATTCCCTCTGATTGATTTTACTGTACTATTTTGGACAATGTAGTTACAGTTGAATTCCCCCAAAGAAACAAAAGACCCATGTCCTTCCTGGGACACGGAGAGGCCACTGGAAGAGGCTTCCAGTGACCAGGGTACGGCCAGAATGAGTGTCATCAGGTCAGCCCCACCTTCTCTCTCTTTTCCTGGTGTGAATGTGCAGGGCCGGTCTGCCCTTGGCCTCTTTCTTGGGGCTCTTGGAACTCGGGTCTGCAGAGTGTGCTGTTGGGGATCACAGGGAAGCGGAGGCTGAAGCTGGAGTCAAATGCAAAAGGCTTACTAGGGGTGGCCATCTACCTCAGACAGCTAGGGAAGCAGGCTGCCCAGCGAGGCGGAGACCCCCCAGAGGAGAGCTACCTCTAGGGGAAATGGCTGGGCCTCCTACCTCTGCCCAGCTTGGTCAAGGAGGATCCCTAGGCACTAACAGCTGGAGCCCGTCCCCTCAGCACACGACCAGCCCCTGGTCAGCCAGCCCCTTCCGGAGGAGAATCTGAGCTGCCAGGCTCCAGGTCTGCCACAAAGGGTCAAAAGGACATTTTGTTGGTGGGTGGATATGAGCCAAGAGGAGCTCAGTGAAGCTGTGACACATCTCTAGATCCTTCTGGAGCTGAGAGAATATCAGTGGTGATAGTTCTTAGAGATTTGCTGCCACCTGGGAGTTGAGGACGCTTCCTGGTTTGGGATGCATTCTGTCATTGTTCCCTGGTCAACTCCTGTGTTAGTCAGCTTCTCAGCACTGCGACCAAAGTACCTGACAAGAACAACTTAGAGGAAGAAAAGCTTACCTGGGGCCCACCGTTTCAGAGGTCTCAGTCCACATGGGCCCACCCATGGCTCTGGGCCTCGAGGGGAGTCAGCCCAGCTGCT